AATTTAACCTTAGAGTGATATAAATCTCTGTAGTTTTGTAAGGTTTTCCTGTGTCTCAGCCTAAACCAGGGATGGGCAAACTACAACCCGCGGGCCAACTCCGACCGGTTTTCTATCCGGCCCGCGGATAGAACTTTAATTTGCCGGTCCGAGGCAAATTAAAAGAAGTATATATTATATATCCATCTCCTTTTGTTTAAATATTTTTTTCTTCCTTTTTTTCAAAGGACTGATGATCTTTTTACTTTCTATTTTTTGCCGTTAAAACGAAGCAAACAAACAGCAAGCACAGGCAGCTTAAATGTAAAAATGGAAGTTTTGTTAGTTATTGTAGATTGCCGCCAACCGTTATCTCTTTCGCGCAGACTATGGGAATCCAATATACGTGAATAGACCTCTTAGAAAAAAAACTAACTTAAAAATATCTGTTTGCGGGCGCTCGCTAGGAAGACTTGTATCATTTTCCGAAAATTCTATACCTTCGTAAATGAAGAGAAGCTTAAGAAATGAAGAGAAGCTTAAGATTTTATGAAGATGGCTTGAAAAAACTGCATTTTGAGTTCGAATTTAGATTTAAGTGCCATTCAAATAGACCTGGATATTTTTACCATGCCTTTCAACGTAAACTGTGAAGCAGTGAGGTCATATATGCAGCTTGAATTAATTGAGTTGCAATCTAACAATCATCTCAAGCAGTTGTTTCTAAATATTCCTAAGTTAAAGTTTTACAAATCATTATCGAACATAAGTTTCCCAAATTTAATATCCCATACCCAGAAAATCAGGGCTGAATCTGTACATCTCACTACGAGCCTCAATATAAGGAACTTTTAAAAATGAAATTTCAATTTCATTCATCTCATTGACATATTTAAATTGTAATACTTGTATATTGTTTTTAAAATTTTAGAAAAATTTGTCTTGGCCCGCCAAACATTTTCTTTCTATTCTTCGCCCGCGACCGAAAACGTTTGCCCATCCCTGGTTTAAACTTTGGTTGAAAACTGTCGCGTTTCTCTTCCACTTATGCCATTTGTCCGTTGCAAAACACTATAAAACCCGAAGACTTTTTAAACGTAAAAACATAATTGATAGTAAAGCAAATAAAGATTATTAAATTTCTTAAAGTTTATATATGCTTCCTAACTGTTATTTTGAGCAAATGATTTCAATAAAATATAAGAGTGTACACATAATTGTAATATCATAATAAAGCTATAAATAGTTTCGAAAATTAAGTTCGTAAATGACTGTATTTGCTTCCAACCAATAAGAGCAAATTGAAGTTATTAAACATGCATAGTAGCTAACAGAATACCAGCATGATCCTTAAATGAAATTATTTCAGTTGCTATTTTAATTAACCACCTTTTTCTTAAAATTAAGCAAACTTAAATCTTAACTGGTGCTGTTTGAATTTAATATATATTTTAAGAGAACAAGTATCAATTTGCTTCAAAATGCGCAGGGATTTTGTATGAAAAGTAACACCAATCTAAGACAGAATTTTATCTAACTTCAAATTTCAAATTGGCTTTCTTCATTTTTTTAAAAACATACTTCTAATAAAGCAATGTTTGTTCTTGGAAATTATGAGTTACACCTTTTTCTTTGAGGATTTTAATCCTCTTTGTGGACATGTTATAAACTATTGAGACACTCACCTCTTGCACGGAAACTGTATCAGCTTTGCTCGAAACGCTTCTATTATTTGAAGTAAATTCAATGAACTTCCTTCAAAACAGCCTTCTATCGATACTGCGATGTTAGATATATTTTCCTTTTGTTATATATGGATCTACACGAGAATTTCACAATGTTGTCTAAAATGGTTTTCGCTCTTTCAATACGCGAAGTAAAATGACATTAACGTTGGCCCATTATGGTATTTAAGTTGAGTGCGTGATGAACGTAATCAGTCATAGAATGTTCCAACGCAAACTGAAACTTTAACTTTTAACCAGAACACTTGATTAACGGAAGTATACGTAGAATGTTCTTTCTCAGGAGCATGAAACTTTCGGACGTAAAGGTACAAAGTAGAATAAGAAATTGTGTGTCTCTTCAGAGATAAGATTGAAGATTGTTTACAGAAACTTGTTGAATTTCCTGAATCAAAAGAAGTCCGACAAGATATCAAAATATATTTATTTGCAATACTCTTGAAATTCAGTCTATGTCTCTTAAACGATCATGGATTACTTTTGATGAATCTTCGTCATCAGTAAAGAATTGTTACATCTTTTGAGGACAACCTTGTGACGCATCTGCGTATCTAAAGGAAAATTTAGGTAGGCCGAGAAGAAACACTAAAGGATATTGACTTGGATTATGCCTTTTACTAAATTCTAGTAATTTAAAATTGAAGTTCTAGTTTGCGATGTAAAAAAGTGACATATTTTAATTTCTTTCAAGAAATCGTTAAAGTTGATAATAGAAATCTTTTTAAATCATGAAAAATGAAAATAATAATAGTAGCAATCTTTTCAAATCTTTTCGTTTTGATTGATTACATTCAAAGCATATAGTTAAGAAGGTGAAAGTACAAGAGAATGAAATACATATTATAAGCTTACTCACCTTTTATTATAAAACTGAATATTGCCTGTTTAACTTCTTGGCATTTTAAGCATTTATATAACTACAAATATTTGCGTCACAGAAAGATAATATTGTCCGTTAGAAGGACAGTTAGAGAAAAAAAAACAATAAACTAATGATGCGAATAAAAATGGAATTTGAAAGCCTTCAAATTTTATGTTACACTCAAAGGGCAATTTTTTAGCATTTAGTGTGTTACCTTTATTTATTAAATATCATGCTCTTCGAACTTAAACCACATAAAATTCAATACAACGGCAATATGACAAAACATACAGTATTAAACAGAATCGGGTATACAGTATTATACAGAATCGGATATATAAAGAATTTTTTTTTTGTTTTTTGTTTTTTTTTTTTGTACGGTGTTGCCACTGCTCGCTTTGATATCATTGAGCTTCTTAATTAAAAATTCGTTAAGTTTTTCAAAATATGAAATAGATAATAAAACAAATTCGAAATTCAAAATTCGAGCTTCCAGGTGACCATGTTCGGGTGGAGGATTACGTTATTCAAAATTTGGTGTCTCCAGGTACCATCATTTTTTCACAATGCGAGATACATGCATACATTCATGCAAATTTTTCATTATTTAATTTCTTTAAATATAATGCAGGGCGATAATATTTAGTGAGAACAATTTAAAAACTGATACGCGGTTTATAGATGCAAAATACCGTTTCGAGACTAATAGCCCTTCTGGGATAGCGTTCATTTGGGCTAACATGACAAAAAATTAAATTTAAAATGTAACCTTACCTTGGTACTCAAATTTAACACTTGCAAAAATATTTTAAAACTCTATTTGGTTTTGAATCCGAGTTCCCTCATTTCTTATACTTGTTTTTATATTTTGATTCGAGACATATGACAACTGGTGTATTTAAATGTGAAAAAGTAATGAATGATATTTATCTTTTCCGTGTACTTGCAAATGCAGCATAAAAGCGGCATCATATTATTCCATAAACTACTGCGTTAGTATTAGATCATTTTATCAAACATAATATTTTTGCTTCTTGAAAGAAAAAATCCATTATTTGCCATTTCTCCAACTTTATTTGCCTATTTGTAATGTTCCTGATTGTGTAGCCGGAATCGTAGCTCTAGCTCTAATTATGAAAGTCTTCCGTTAAAAACATCTGTATTGCCCAATTCAAATCGCGTGTTCAAACTAAGTTATGGATGCAGAGAAAAGAGAAATAAAAATGAATATATTTTGGATGTTAAGCATTATTTTAGGTAGCTACTGAATGAGAAATGTGAAAATAGCAGAGCTATTTTTCTGAACGTGGATATGCTAGTTTGAGTACATTAAGAATGTGTATATCCCGAAGTTAATTTGTCCTTCTTTCAAACAAATTATTATAACTTTCAGCAAAATAATTTCTGACGGTCAAAATACCATAATTCCCAATAGCCAAAATGTCATAATTCCTTTTACTTTCATTGTAGGCAAATACACGAATGTAATAGGTGATATATGAAGTTCGCTTTGTGGTAAACGAAGAATTACTTTTAAAGCGAATAATCAAATTACTGCCAAATATTTCCTGAATTATTTCCAAATTTAACGGATGTTTCGATATGGATACTGGGATTATTAGACTCAGCGGTGTTTATTATTATAAGCCTCATTCTAACGTAAACGTATAAGAGAAGAACTGAAAAGATTTTTTCTTTTGATTTGATGTTAAAAGAAAACAAAAACATTCAACTAGTCATGAATAATTTTAAAATAATTGTTTAGTATTTTGGGTGTACGGTAGTAAAATTTGATAATTTCTGTGATGACGTCAGAAAAGCGCCAGAAACAGTATTAATCTGAGAAAAATATGGTAAATCGCATAAAAACTAAATGAGTAAATAAGGGTCTCTAGTGATATAAAAGTGAATTTTTCAGAGAGAGGTATATATGATATAAAGTATTTAAAGATACCTTTAATTCTACAAATTTTAACATATTAATTCTACAAATATATTGTAATAAACCCCGATAATTAAAAAAAATACATTTATAAAGAATTTTGTTGTAAATTTAATACTTTTGACCTGTCTCTAGAATTGCAATGTGTATCTTTTAACAACTGATCTAGGAAAATTTATTAAAAGAAGATTTGTTTGAGAAAATACAGTTTAACTATATCTTCTATCGAAAACGTAATAATTATTAACATGAAGATGCTCCAAATTATGGAAGATTTTGTTCTCTTTAAAAATGAAATCTGAAGCTAACGAAGAGAGATTGTATTTTTTAAAAAGACAATAAACTTATAGTTAACAAAATAATAAACTAAATAAGCGAAATTTTATATCAAAGGAAATTTGTACGTAAATTTCTTTTGATGATATAATTTGATGCTTTGAATGATGAAAACATTGGTATGAAATATATACATACGAAACAAAATTCTTATGAAACGTGTACATACAATACGATAAGTGCGTATTTTGAATAGAATAAAATAACCATTTTCGTCTAATAATAATGAGATCCAGTTGACTTCATAAAGAATATATGTAGCTGAATGCTTGTAGGGCATATCTAGTTTTTCGAGAACAGAAATAAATCTACATTTTTGAAAACGGCATTTTTCTGTCTTAAATATTCATTAGCTGTAAAATTGATAAGTTTATTAGCTTCATTTTACATCTTCATCAAACGTTTTAAACCCAAACATAAACCATTTCTTACTCTCCTTCTCTTCTAAAATTCCCATAAGAAAAACTTATTTGAAAGTATCATCATCCTTTAGCTTTGTTCCATGTTTTACAGTGGAACACAAAATACAGATATTTTTCAATAACTGTTGAGAAAACTTACGAAAAATAATATTGCTTTCAAATTCTAAAGAATTCAAACTAAAAAGTTCATTGTTTTAACTTCCGTGCATTATCATTCATAATTTGTGAGATTTCGTAATGACTGTTCGCAACAAAAATCCGACATATCGTATTTTCTTGAGAAAAGTTTTGAGCTTCACTGGATCACTAGTAAAAATATTCTTCTTTTGTTTTTTTACACGCTGTTACTTTCTTTCTTGAGTTGCTGCAGGCGGTCGTTCAGTCTTGCTAGCGCAGGTTCTAAAAGCCACAGTCCTCCAGATACAATAGATAAACCTCCCAATATGTAATACATTTCATCGTAAGAGCTTCTTGTGTCTCGGAAGTAGCCTATGAAAAAACAAAACATAAAAAAAACTACTAGACTATATTTTAGACTCCTTTTCAAACCTAAACAATAATCTGGAAATTTATATTTACTATATAACATTTTAAACCAACATTTTAAACTCTGGAATTACTTATATCAATTATTTGCGACTGAACTAAGAATTTAACTTCTACGCATAATTAGCGCATAATATATACAAATTAGGTGACAGACAATGTGTTGCGCAATGGACGCATTTTGGAATTCGAGTGTGTAGTTCGATGTTCGATTGATATGTTTTTAAGTTATTGCGGTTCCTGAGACTGATCAAAATTCATTAATTATAAATCAAACATTTGGCAAAAAGGTGATAAATTGGTAAATCGACTGGTGAGTATCAAATATAGTTACAGGTCACCCAGGATTTGAAAATCCGTCTCAAAGTATTATCATAAAGTGAATGTAGATAGCTGGATCTTTCAAAGTGTTAACAAAGGGCAATCAAGAGCAACAATTGCATCTGAATATCGTTTACTGTCGGTTCGAAGAAACCGCGAAAAACCTTCTAGAGAGTTGTTTTTTAGAGCTTCTAAAGAGTCACACTCACGTTTTGACAAAGTCAGATTTTAGAAAAAATTAATTTTCGACAAATAACGAAATCTAATTACATGTATAATAACGGTTTATATAGGTACTTAGTCTAATATTAGATATCTAACAATATTTAATATCATTTTACTGTTGCAAATATCTAACAATATTTAAAATTATTTTGTTGTTGTTCTGAAAAGTACATTTGATAGGCCGTAGAAGGAAGTCATGTGGGGGCCATATCTGATGTTTTTAAGAAATAAACGCACACATTATGCAAGACAATTGATAGTTTGAATTGTATTTTTCAATGATATGAGACCTGTTTCTTCGGTATTACCCGGCTTAATCAAGAACAAACACACTGTATGTTAAATAAAAATTCTACTGATTTAATTCCTCTTCTGATCTACATTTAAAAGCAAAATATCATGGATTGAAGTTTGGATACTCGCAGATGAGAAAAAGTATAAAGAAATCTTTTAAAACTTAAAAACTCCTGATTTAGATCAAATTACCTTTGCAAAAGTGGTTTTTCAAGAATGAACTTGTTAGAATTAAATTTAAATCCAAAATAACCAACAAATATCAGAACGCCTGCCTGAATTTAGCAATAATGTCATATGTACCAAATTACAATAAACTCGCGGAAGAAATGCAGTGTCAGATTTCACATTAGTGCTTTTCCTGTATTAATTTTCATCTTATTGAATTTTTGATAAACAGTATAAAGAGTACATAATTAACTTTTTCTTTTACATACTACAACCACACTTTTTATAATTTGTGCATTACAATTATAACTGATTTCTTAAAAGTGCAAAGTATAACTGCGGCTTGCCAAAATCTTTAAATCTTAAACTGATTTGAGTTATGCTAGAGGTTGGGCACATCTGCTGCACCTCATATTCGATTGATTTGTGAAAGATTTGAAAATACGTTTTATAAATAATGAAACAAATCTCGATGCATTATTAGACAGCCCACTCGGTCTGTAGCTATAATAAAAGAAATATGCACGGCAGCTTACGAATAGCTGCCATACTCAAAACCTGTGTATGAACAATAATTTTATCTGTTGGCATTTGCGAAAATAACGAAAACGATGTCATACTCATATATGTGAGCATAGTAAACAGGGAGTGAGAAGGCCAAGGAAATTGATTAGAAAAGCAAGTGACAAATTCGCGATTCCACGTTCTACTGTGCATAATGAAATGCACAAAAGTCTAAGTTTGCAGGCCTATCAGTGTCAGATATACTAGTATATTATCCTGCTGACAGATATAAGAAGTAATCATTTTCCAAAAACACGCTACTGAAATTGGAAGAGATGAAGAATTCTTGGCAGCTGCATGTTTCTCAGACGAAACTACTTCCGCGTTAATGCAAAGCTGAACAGACACAATTGTCGGATCTGTGTTAGAGGAAATTCACATGTGATTTATGAAATTGAACGTGATTCATCAAAAGTTAATGTGTCGTATGGCATTACGAAAGAGAAGATCACAAGCCTATTATTCTTTGCTGATTAGACAGTGACCTCAGAAAATTAAATCGACAGGTTAGAACTGTCATGTCTCTACTTCTTCTAGGTACCATTTCTTAGCACGACAGGATAAGGTCATATTTTTAATACCAAGTATGTAAAGGAAAAAAGTAAGTTTAGCATTTCTTAGCACGACAGGATAAGGTCATATTTTTAATACCAAGTATGTAAAGGAAAAAAGTAAGTTTAGCATTACTTATTTCTGCAAGGAAATTTACTATATACTGGTTACAAAAACGCACTTTATACTAACTTTAATATTTTTTATTTATTTCTAAAAAATAGAAATAAAAGAAAATAAGGAATGGAAAGAAAATAAGGAATGAAAATCGCTATTGTTCTCCCATCCAAAAGTTTCCTTGTCTTCTTTTCTTCACCACATAATTCTTGAAGAATACGAGCAAAATCAACTGGTTGCATATATGTTTTTTGCCATGAAAACCGATATAAAATTTACAGAGCCAAATGTATTCAAGTTAAAATTATACACAGCAATTAATAACACAAAATTACAAAATATTTGAGAAAAAATATTTTCCGAATTTTCACTCACGAGCACGCGCCTGTCCTAAACTTTACGAAAAAGCTGCCACATAGCCCAGTTAAAAAAAATCAAATGTCTTCCTATTGGCACATTCCATGATGTGGGGAAGGGTAAAAAGGAGGAATAGAAATGACCTTCAGACGTCTCAGCTTCGATATGTGAAAAATGTGCATTAAAAACTGAATTTCTCGTAAATTTTGCGCATACACGCGTGCTGGAGGGTTAATAACATGAAAGGAGCATTATTAAGTTTTATAGAGAATATAATGCTAAAGCATGAATAAAATATGATAAATATGAATTTATAGCTGTAAAATACATCACTTTTTAACATGAAGTCTTTTTGTAAAAGTAGTTCAGCGAAATTATTAGGATTTCAGAAAAACTTGTATCTTCATGTATTATAAATCATGTATATTAAGTGTTTGATTAAATAAATAAAATCCAACGCAATCTCATCTATTCTTATCAGCGAATGCTTAAAAAGCAATTTCATTTTTTTAAAAAAAAGATGCTTTCATCGTCTAGCTAAAAATCACAATATATTTATGAAGTTTGACAAGTGTACTTATTTTATCGCTTTTTCTCTTGAAACAAATTAATGCAATTGAAATGCAATAATTACCAATGAGGGATGGTATTCCGAGTGGAATTAATCCCGAAACGAAACCGTAGCATCCCATAGCCATTAAATGCTCTTCCTTCTTCACATGCTTAAATACGAGGATTGGTAGACGAACCAACATGCTTCCTGCTGTCATGGAGAAGAGGGCTAATAGCAACAAGTACATAGCCAAACTCTTGGTCATGGGCAGTAAAAGAATGAAGATACCTTCAAGGACCAAAGCTATGATCATGTAGTGCGGAATAGATATGATATCCTTGTCTGTCACCCAACCAAAGCAAAGGCGGCCTATGAAATAATTGTATGAATTAATGTGCATATCACAGATGACAAATATTATGTACGAATCTAAATTTGGAGAAAATGTAATAAATGTGCACCTAGTATATCTCCAACGGCCGTGGCATGTATTAGGTACTTTCCAACAGTTTCTGGTAAACCTTTGTCTCTGCTATAATCAATGACAGTGGTCATCAGAGGAACTACTATTAAAACATACGTTGCCATACAAATGCATATTAGCACGAAAAGAGGATTCTTGTATATTCTAGCAATACTTTTTACACTTTCCAACATGCTTTTTGCTTTTTCGGTGCCAGTCTTTGCCTCTTCTGTCCCCCTGGAAACTTCATTTTTCTTCTCGCAGGGTAATGAAATATGATCACAAAAACAATCTTCAGGAGTGACAAGCAAACTCTACCGAAAGAGAGTATAAAATAATTTTACCAAATGAAATTTTTAAAAGGAGGGTATTATAAATTATGCTGATCCTAAAAATTTTTAAATTTATATATGAATTTATTATTGAGCTATACCATCTTTTACACATCTTTATGAAAACCACAGTATATAAGATTCAATGCATTACCTGAAGGCTTTGCCTTTTGCCTCGGTGAGTTTGCTCTAGGCAGTTCTGCATTTCCAGTTCGAAGACAGGATTGCCGAATCCTTTTGTTTCTTCCAGTGTTTCTTGGAGGGTAGAAATTAAGTTTGTTGAGGAATGAGTTTTCATGGGAAGACCTGAGATAGTAAAAATGTTATTCCCTTCTGCCAGAGGATTCAAAGATATGATGGATTTTGCTTTCATGCAGCTTTTCGAAATCACACAAGAATGTGGCTTCTGGCGAATGCTATTCTTTTGATCTGAAAGCATTTTTGTTATCTTTTATAAATGTGACACAAATTTAGCTGAAAAAAAGCAGCTAAGCAAATTGATTTTTTTTTTCAATTTAAGCATAACAGCAGAAGTTTTACACTACTGATACAATCAAAGCAATAAGGAGGTATCAATGTTTAGTAAAATCAAAATAAAGTAGTATCACTTTGAACTGAATGACTGAATTCAATGACTTGAAAAAGTTTTGAAAATATTAAAATGTCAAAAAATCAATAAATAGGAAGTGGAAATTTCCATTTTTTGCACCATGTACCGTAAACAAACTGCCAGAGTTAAGTAAATTGAGTTAATCTCATAATGCTGTCCACAAATTTAACTGAGTAAATTTAGTACTAAGTCTCTCTTGTATTGAGTACCAAAAAGATGACGCTTGAAAGTTTCTTACTGTAGTCTTCATGTACCTATTTTTTGTTCATGACTAGTTCCTAATGACCTAGTGCAATGGTTTTTCACTTAATTTGCGCCATGCACCCCTTTGACATCTTGACGATCACCTTTCACAAATAGACAACAGACGATCATTCGACCCTTCTTTTCTTCGTTTATTTAAATTTAGATTATGTTTTAATGTGCTTTAGAAATTAAACAAGAAAAAGTATAGAATATAGTGATAAATAACAAAACTTAAATTTAAAAAGTAGTTTTTGTTTTCACAAACTAAAACTAAATAATTATCAGGCAAATAAAAGCCTGACCATATTCCTTGCATGAAATTATGAATTTCTTTCTATGGCGAATTCCCCGCGGTGAGAACCCCTGATCTAATAGATTCAGTGTCTTCAAGGAGAACAAGATACTAATTTCTGCATTTAGTTTGGAGCACACATTTTTTCTTCTAAATTTGCTGTACTCCAATTGATTTTTCTAGAGCTAGTGCTTTCTTAGCTGTTTACTGGAAATATTGTCTTTTTTCCTCTCCGTCGGTATTCATTTGTGTGCTTACTATTAAGTTCTTTCTTTTGAGTGTTACAATATTTCTTACGATATGAATATAATTATCTTTTTCATCCTCGTTATGATTGTCGTAAGTGTTGTTGTTGGCGTAATCATCCATTTAAATTTTATCCTCATCATCGGAAGGAAGTCAAGTTCGATATCTTCACCATATTCATCACCATTTTGACCTGTGATCATTTCCTGCTTTATATAAATACTTATTATTATTTTTATCTGACTTTTTTAAACATCTCTAAACTGCATCGCTGCAAAGTGTAAGCCGTTTAGTTACCCAAATTTCGTTTTTAAAAGTATCGACCAATGTAGGCAGTTTATTCTGTTCCTGACCACAATTATCTCCCGTTTCTTCATTAAAATCCTTTTCTAGTACATAAATATACTATGCAAAATCATTATTACAGTAAGATCGCTACACACTGGCAGCTCAACCCGTTTCAAATTTCGGCGGAGCATGGGGCTGGGGCATTCAAGTATTAGTGCGTAGGAGACATGGGCAAAACTGTTATTTTAAAGGCTCGGATCAAAATATTCTGCTCACTGAAATAAATCGGTTCTTTTTTATTATACACCACTCACAAACAATAACCTTGATGAAAGAAATCCGTAAAGATTTGACTCAGTCAAAAGCTAACTCCCTGAATTGATTTCTTTAAATTGTACTTCTGGGATTCCTTAAAATCTCCTTTTCACAGAGAACTAACAATAAAATTATAGAGCAGAAATTTTTCAAAAATTTGGGAAATTATACAAATAGCTCATGCAACTCTAATGTATAGTGACTACCAGCAAGGTTCCCTTCTTCTTCCACAAAACTTCATTTACGAAGGCAAATAGCCCTTAGGCTCCTTAAGCAAATAGCCCTTAATAAATTCAGATAATATAACCTAGCCCAATAAAAGTGGGAAAGCTCATGTAGAATTCCTAAAATTGTATGAAATTCTAATTAATATTCATTGTTTAAAATAAACCACTCTCTGCATGAATTAAGATGCAGTGAATCAATCAATCAATTAATAAATTATTAATATATATGCAATAAGACGAACTTATTAATTAATTTAATAATACACATGCAATAAGACGCGCTGAATAAATAAGTTATTAAATAAATCAATTAGTGATTTTAGACATTTATGATATTTTCATGATTAAGACTCAGAAAAAAGGGTTTCTTGCGTACTTTCATTCTGAATCCAGCTTGGCGATTTGAGAAGGATTGCTGCTGGTAAGACATGAAGAATAACTCCTGAAACTATGAGGAACGTGCCCTGAAGTCCATAAGCATCTTCTAGGGATTCAATGAGAAAGGAAAAGCCAATGGACCCCACACACGCCCCAGAAAGGGCAATACCGGAAGCAGTTGCTCTGTATTTCACAAAATATTGATTTACCACCACTTGAAAAAGTGTGTTAGAGAAAGCATCGCCCAGGCCTAAGAGAGAAAACATTTATTTTTTATTCAGGGATGGGTTCAATTAAAACAAAAATTGAGAACTCGAGATTTGTTTTAAGTCAAAATCACGCTCAGCAGTTGTTTAAAGATAAATAAAAAATCTGTCAGAAATAAGAATAAAATCTTTCAAAGAAAGATAAATAAACACCAACAAAGTTGTAAATTTTTAAATGAATGTTTAGTTAATTTTTTTAGCTTTAAAATTTAATTTTTATATTAAACAACAGCTTTTTATTACACAAAATTTATACCAATATGCTAAAAATTTCAAAATAGTCTACGTAACTAAATATGAAGTGCATTAATTAATTGTGACTGAGATTTACCACCAATTTAGAAGAGCAAGAGAGTTTGTTTACAACATGGGCAAATGAGTTTCTTTTCATGTTTCGAAAAAAGGTTTCATTCTAAAGTCTTAAGTTAAAAATTTAATTTTACCAATTTAAAAACAATTGAAACAAAAATGCCATGAAACGAAAATGTCTGCAATGACACATAGGTAAATCTATACTAGAGATTAAATAAAGTAAGAGTTGGTCTTTTGTGCAGCATATGCAGAGTTGGCATAAATGTTAAAATATTCTTTTAGTACTACTATCCCTTCCTTCGCACGTATCGTTTGCAGCTTTCGAATAGTTGCCGGTAAATGCAATAACTCGTTTCCATAGCAGTTAGACTTTCTCAAAAATCGATTTTATTTCAAATGGAACTTTATTATAAATAATATACTATCTTTATAAAAGGATAAATTCATTCATTTAGAGTGACAGGGAGTGTTTCGTAAATAAAGAATTTAAAGTGCATTTTTAAGGTATCGAAACCGTAATTGAGTCATAAAATTTTGTATGAAGCCTTTTCGTTGTTCAACTGATTCTTTAACAACTGTGTTTCATATGTAGCAAATGATACTTCATTCACATCCTTTGAACACTTCATAGACGCTCCCCTTCTGCAGTGGTGTGTGTTTAAGCTTTATTTCACTTTAAAATTTCATTTTCAAATCAACTAATATCATCATGAAAGAAAGAATTAATTCTCATATTACGTTATTTGCTATGGACTATCTGCTGTATACTTTTTATGCATCAGCTAATATCAACAGCTGAGAAAAAAGTACTTATGTTCAGTACGAGGCAAGAAATTTATTTGAAGTTCCTACGAATAAAATGGCATCCTATAAAACAATAATTTTTTCCAACAGGCTTTCTTATGATATTGCATACCTAATACTATTGTAGTTTTTTGAAAATTAAGAGTGTATTTCGACATACTTTTATTACAAATAGTACACAGGAATAGCACGAACCATGAATTCCACCCCAACAGACTACAAGCCATGTTGTATTGGGAGCTATGAAGCAAAGAGCTGCTCCGAGTGCCCCTACGAATCCCCCAAAGAAAGTAACAGTTCGAATTCCGTAACGTTGCCCAATTACTCCTACAACTGGTCCTGAATGAGAGAAAGTTATTAATAAATATCATCACATAATAAAAGTATTATATAAAATAGCATTTGAAAGTACCTTGAAAGAAAAAATAAGTTTAAATTCAAATGAAAGCTGTGCACATAATTAAAATTGTTGGTAAATATTCGTTATCAATACCTTATAATACAAGAATCGCTAATGCTGAAATTTACATATTTTCCTGTACTGGCTGTATTATAAGCATAAGTATCTTATAAGGAGTAAATTTTAATATGAAGTCAGTAAATAATGGCAGATTAAATTTCGATTTTGGGGAAGCTTATAGAATATTTTGCTAAATGAACGTTTTGCTGTGTAGAAATCATATAAAATATAAATGAAATTCTTTGTTTACAGAATTGTCCCAGCCAATGCTGAAAAATCTTTTTTTGTTGTTGTTGTTTTTATTTTATTTTGTGGAGCTTCGTAAATGAAACTACACATCTAGGATTAATGTTTAAGACAACAAAGCCATACATTTCGAACATTTAGCTTAATGCTTTAGAGAAAACACATTTAATATAATATTTAGAGAAAGCGCGACATATTTCTGAGCACAGTCGTTTTATAAGTTAAACTTAGTGAACATTTGCAAGACGGGAAATATAGATTTGATTAACTTAAATTCTAACTTTCTTCATCTCCCCATTGTATATCTTAGCACAACTCTGTTGGAAATGTGTGTTAGTGTGTTACATTGTAATTCATTTCTTCTTGTTTTCATGACGCTTAAATTCTAGTCTGGCACGATAACAACATTTGAAGGAATAAGAAATTAAGCAAAAGTATGAGCTTAATATTATAATGATTACAAAGTTTCGAAGACATTATTAGAGAAAATGCAGTGCGTGTTTATGCAATATTTGTTTCCTACAGGGTTTTAAGAAATAGGTTCAAGAAATAGGTTCATTTTAAAAACGCTGTTTCACTAAGAAAACGTTACACTTTAAGGACTGCTCAAAAGCAGACAAAAAGTGACGATGAAAGTTCTAAACAATTTTTTTTCTCTGTTCTGCAAACGGAGAACATACAAATTCACAAAGAGACAATACAAGTATTATAAAAGTAATGCTATAATAGAGGATGATGCGAAAAATATTAGTTTGGCTTGATACTGATTGAATGAGGTTTGAATTTTTCCTGGGATACAGTATATCAGTGGTCACACACTGGTGGCCCCCGAAGCAATTATATGTGACCTGCGAATGCATTTCAACTATGTATTTCTTGCAAATACAGTGCTACCAAGATTTCAGGATTTTAGTTCATTTTAGTCCGAATTTACATTAGTTTTTATTATTATAAAAAAATCTCATGTGGACACCACATGTTTTCCTTGTGCGGCCTATTTAAGTATAGACATGTTTTGCTGCATTTCATTTAAACATTTTTCGCCGAATTTCTTTAGAAATATATTTCACATTCAATTAATTCAGTTCTGTCTTTGCGGCAAGGCAAGAATAAATAAAAACTCAAAATATCTTCATTCAAAATTGTAAAATGCAGAAAACATAAACCCCAAATATAAATAAAACAGTTAGAATTTTTTCCCTAATTAAAATTAGATTTTCTACTCAAAAACAAGCAACTAGCGAGCAGGAAGACAGATTATTCGGCTCACCAAATTTAAAGTTTACTTATGGTCCTACTCGGCAAAAGGACACTGAAGTTGGTGCATAAACTGAACTGTTCTACAAAGTTTTCCAAATGCAAACAAATGGCATCCTCATTGGTCTTAGTACCACTTAAACAACTTTAAAATTGTTGATAATTCTACAACTATCGCTTGCAGATTAACTAAATACATAAAACTCTTAACCGGAACATAAGAAAAACATTAATCAATCCCTTTTAAAGCAAAAACAAATGCACAATTTAACAACATATTATAATAAAATACTTAGATCACCGAACCGGGTAAACTACACGTTATAGCAGTCCCATATACAAAATTTCACCTTTCTGACTCGTTTTTATGTTATTCCAGATATATACATGTACGTACGTTCAGACGTCAAGACAAAATCTCTTCTGAATCCATTACACAATTTCGAGAAAAAGAGTCCTTTATTCTGTCCGTATGTAGATATGTCACATAAAAACATTGTTCATATGAATGCGACAGCGGCCGAAATGGATATTTTTGTTAAAATATGATACCAGAAATTTTTCGAGGTTACAATATTTAATTTATTTCGTACAAGAAAGTAAATACGAACACCAGAAAATATATAAATGGGTTAATTTACAGTTTGATAGAAATCTTATTGAAAGATTTGAAGGTACAGATTTCATTAACATTTATTCATACTTTTCAAAAATTAAATATGCTCAGTTACGAATGTTTTCACTAAGAATATTTGTTTTGTTCGAGAATACATTTATAAGCGAATGGCTTTTTTTAGTAATTGAAAATTAATAAAAATAAACCGTTGTCCGATGAGTATCTACAATACGTGATGAAAATAATTCCTAGTAATGTTTCTCTAAGGCTTTAACAGAATCAAAACGCCATTTAGTGTCAACATCCAGTAAGAAATAAAAGATGTTTATGATTATTTGCATAAAAATATGCAATTTAATTCATGCCTCTAAGAAAAATTTAACAAATAAGATAAAGGGCTAAACTGTCCTTATTTCAGAAGTCAAACAACAAATTTCCTTATTTATTTTTAAGTTTTGAGCCATTGGTAAGTATTCTCTGAAAATAGAAAGTTTTCATAATTTTTTTATTTTTAGTTTAATTTATTATTTATAATAAAAAATATCAGAGTTATTTTCAAAAATATAGTCAGCAAATTTAATATTGATTCAATGTATTTAAATAAAAACTGTAACAAATAAAAATATTTGCAGATAAAAAAATTTGAATCTCAATTAGAAAAAAAATTTGAATTTTTTTTGTATGTCTTGCTTACACATCATTTCATAATATTTAGTAAGCGAAATTAAAAATTGTCTTTTCAAATTTTTTAATTTAAAATTTAAAATTTAAAATTTTTTTTATCTTATTAATCAAATTTTGTATTAATAAGATAAAAAAGTATTTTCATCTTATTAATACAAAATTTGAATGTTTAAAAAAATTCGGCTCGTCAACTGTTTTCAGGTTGTGCAATCAACCAGTGTTATACAGTGTGAGACTACTGTGATCAACAATGCGTAGGGACCAAAATGTCCAGTTCAACTTTGAGATGAAGCCAGAGATTATTCGTTCGATCATTGACTCGATTTACACTCGTATGAAAAATAAAGAGAAATTGAAAATTATGTCTATTGAAACAAAGGTACTAACTATGCAGCCGAAGAATTATTCAAATATTCAGAGTCGAACATGTAAGACTTACGAGCGTGTTTTGCGGAGCTGGTGATTGTGGAGAGTATATCATTCGAGTGAATGCAAAAGCCGGAATAATCACAATTTAGATAAAACTGGCGAATATAGAAACGCAACGGGAGTGTCAGAAACACTCTCTCAGTCTAAGATTCAGACCCCTCAAATTATATACTCTAAAAGCTTATTTGAATTCTTGTAAGGAATAATAAAAAAAAATAAGTTAGAGTAAAGATCAAAATTATAATTACCTGGTGAATCAATATAAAAAACTTTAGAAGTTATTTTTTACGGATGAGGCTTGTTTTCTTATGCATTACATTTCAGAAGACAGACATTACAGTTAAGCATAACCTCAGCATAAATACCAAGTGTCGAACAAAGCAAATCTAAATATTCACAATCTATTAACTTAATTTCTAGATAGTAAGTCATTTATATTTAAGCTTTAATGTAATCTAGTTAGTCGTAGCTTGGATTTAATAAATAAACTACCATTACTAGTAGTAATGCGATGGTCACTCCCGTTCACACATTATTGTAGAAATTAATTAAAGTTAAGTCATACAATATATGAAATTAGAAAGAAACAGGCCTGATTATAACGTAAGTAGCTAAAGCCCTTGGAGAACCGCATAATTATCCTTTTCTCCATCATAATTAAGTTATCTCCTTAAAAGAGAACTGAAAATGACGCTCTAAAGCCTATACCTAAGACTTTGCTACTTGCACATCTAACAGACGACAGATTACACAGAAAGGGAAAATAGCATTTTATATTTAAAACTGAATTTCTTCTGTAGAAAAAGTTTATATTCGAACAATTGATTTTCTTTTTTATTATTATGATAATAGTATATCATGCTATACTAAATTCTAAAATTCGTAAATCAAAGAACTTATCTTTTTGCTTATCCCTAACTAATTTAAATTTTTTTAATTTAAATTTTCTAGAGACTAAAAAATTAAATAAATAGACTCTTCATCTACCTAACTAACTTATTTACCCTAAGCATGCTATTAGAATGTAAGAAAAGCGTAATTGTAGGAAATTTAAGTAAAATGAGAAACTATAAATTTAATACGAACCATAAATATTTAAAATACAAGGAAAAAAACTTACCTGCTAAACTTCGGAGAGATTTTCTCAAGGAGAATGGCAGCGTTGCTTCGAATCTTGTGGCACCGTATGTATCAATAACTGCTACGTAAAGTATACCCACTACCTTAGACAAGCCAGAAAGGATCATGGTAAGAACGCAAGCAGCTATAGCAATGACCCAAGCATGACCTTTGTCTGGACCTTCACTGTAGCTCATTTTCAATGGTGAAGTACTACTCTTCAGAAATTCTTATAATAGTACTTATATATAGTACTGTATCTACTTCTACCTAGTACTCGTAGGTACAGTATTAGACATTCCTAAATTAGAAAATAGTTTTTCTTTTTTGAAGTCTTCTGACATTACTTCTCAGATCAGCATTCTAAAAAAATCACTGCAACTATTGAAGAATCTTGCACTAATCGATAATTTATTTTTAAATGTAAATTTCTAAAATTCAGGAATCCAAAAGAATTCATTTCGTAATTAATCTTCTTTGTTTTCATCATATAAAGCTTGACTGTTAACCTTTGAATATGAGAAATTTTAGTTTAATTAACATTAATTGTGTTATAATTAACAGTTAATTACACACATTTATTCTCAGTGGTAAGAAGATCTGCAAACAAAGAGTTCTAATAACACAGAAATCAGTTTCAGACATGCGCATAAAAGTGGATAACTTTTATGTGCATGTCTGAAAACTGTTAACTCAGTGCAATCCTTTTACAATTACGTGCATTCCTGTTTCCTTTATATAATACACAAGTATATAATAAAATCCAGACATCAAAGAAGATCTTATTATGCCCAGGGAAAGTCAAGGAAATGCATATGTACGGTATAAACGGGAAGTAAATCAGAAACTTCGTTTCCATAAGAAACGAAGTATTCGCTATTTACTTTTTCAGATTTCTGTTCTTTTCCCTTTATATGATTATCTCATAGTGGAAAGACCAAATTAACTTTATTTTTAAATTAGAATACGTAGCTCCATAAGATTAAGCAGATTAAAAACATGATTTCTACTCTAATAATTTATTATTTTAACTATTACTCATTTGCGTCGAACCACACGAAGCTAAGAAATTCCTATAAGCGGCCCTGCGACATGTCCATTATTTAAGATGTTACGAGGTGTGAGACAACATGCTTTGACAATGCAGAAGCAATAACTTATTCAGTAATGCTGCCACTTGTCGTTACAAGAGTCATAACCTCACGACCACTATCAAGAGAGTTTAGCAATTTGCGCTGTATCTGTCATCAAAGCTTTTCGATTTCAGGAGGGATGAGTCTGTAGCTTTTCTAATATTGTCTTCGACTATAACGAATCAGAAGACGTAAAACACAACCGAAACACAAAAAAAGATATGACTAATTCAGTCTGCATGCTTTTTGAGACGCAGCAAGACTTCAGAACGTTATGAGACTCTAAACTGTAGAAACTATTTCCGTTAGTTCTGTCCTCACAACTTTGTATACAAATAATTTGTTCCTATGCATTCATTGTTCAATTCAATTTGTACTTCTATTATTAATGATGTTTCTTACAAGTTTATAATAAAAGTGTTTTTAGTTTTATATCAAATAAGTAATGCGAAAACTAACTAAAACATATATCAAACGCCAAATTCAACAAATAAAATATTTCGATATTTTTTCCAAATGAAAAATATAATTGGAAATAATAGTTGCTTTACCTGTTTACTTGAGTGCATCACTTTTTGTGTACAATATATTACTTTTCTTGTTGCTCCTTTAAAGGTAAAAAAAAATTATAAAGTTCAAACACTTTTCTTCCTCTTTTTAAACACGGTACTGCAAAAACAGAATGGAATATTTTTATTAGTTCTCTCGCCGGTTCAGAATTCAGTTGATTGATGATTTCAAAAAAATTGCACTGAATGTATAGGTCTAGTATTGTATTATATTTTATCAAAGCATTATCTCTTTTCACACTCTCATGCTTGTTAAAGTAAATAAAAGAGCATTAAGTTCCATAAAAATGTACTATGAGACACAAAAAGGGTTTTAAGAGTTAGAATGACGATTTCGGCTTAAAATCGGTAAAGTATGTATCCGAAGATTGCAGGTCATTTATGATATAATATAACCCTTTATGATGCAATAAGCGAGAAAATAAGCCAACCTAGTTTGTGTTTTATGGTTCTCGTTACCTGAGGCGTATCTGATGTGGAAAAAATTAAAACATGAAATAAATTAACACCGAAAATGATTATTGTTTGTTTATGAAGATGCGAAATGTTGAGGAAACAAAATCAGATGGAAAATTTTAATTGTATAAAATATAGCCGATACAGTTCAATAAAAACTTCGAAGTAGGTTTATTAATTTTATCTCTTTGCTTAAAGCAGAAATGCTGTTGTTTTTGACTTTTCCGTGAAATAATAAAACTAAGACATTTTACAAGTTTTGTTTCCCAATTAAGTAACACTGAGAAATGAATTAAATTCTTGCATTCGTTTCTGGCGTTAGTTCAAAAATTCGTTGCTTTCTAGTGCACACTGAATATTTATTTGTGTATTATATTTATTGTAGTTTAGTGTGGTTTTGAGTATAAAATTTACTGTAGTTTCAAATATAATATTTATTGTATTTAGAAATATATTTTATCCAAATATCGTTTTCTACAGTCATAACAGCTAAAGCTCGCAAAAAACATTAACTTACTTGTAAAGTATATATGCATGTTCATAATCTCTGTAAGAAATTCCGTTGTGTACTTTTGTTGCTGTCTTCTCAAAGAATCATAGTGTAACAATACAAATACTTTAAGCTTTAAAACGTGGACTTATCATTAAAATAAATGTAGTATGTAAGTGAAGATTATGAATTTTCTGCCATGTATTAGAAGGAACGAACAAATGCATTGAAAAGTATAATATTCCAATTTATGGCTGGCAGATCTTTTCCATTGATAATTAGATAGTGAAAAAAAAAAGATAACTAGGAATATAGTGTCACGTAAATAAATTTTTTTTTTGTCTATGAAAAGTACGATGATAAGAAAAATCAAAGCCCGCACAAAAATGAAAAGAACATGAGTTTCATTTACTAGTACTCTTAAATAAAATCAGCATGCAGGGTATTTTTATCCTTTCAGGTATATTTACTTGTTATTATTACACATCGGTTTTACTTATCATTTAGAAACCTTATATCATCTTTCAAAGGTACGGTTTGTTTTCGCTAACATTTATGTTAATTCTTTTCTGTACCCTCTAATATACCATAACGAAAGGCAAAGGTTCATCACAGAGTTCGCTCTTTCCATCTGTCGACAGAAGTTTAGAAAAGACAGCAAAACTGTCTGAAGTTGTCATGGGAAATTACTATATAAACTACTCATTCTTTGCACCATTCTTGACGGTATAATGATTAGCGGAGGCTAATTAGTAGCTCAAAAGAATGTGAGTTCGATTCGCTTAAGATCTGGATATTTGTGTTTACTCCTTCCTTATGGGTGTAGTAAAGAAGTGCCCTCCCCCACGGAAAGTTCTGGATGATAAGATGAATAAATGATAGACGGGTGTAATTATTCTTCACAAATACCGCTCATACGGGATAATGGTTAGAGATACTGACTGCCGTATCGAAGGGCCCAGGGTCGAATTCCAGAGAAGGCATGGAGGCACAGGAACACTCAAAGTATGCGGCTAGCCGAAAGTCCTAGCTAGAATTTGATAGGAACTCCACCCCTTTGGGTGCTGTGTTTGAAAACTGGGGCGAAACTGAGCATAAAATTGAACTGTCAACTGTATGGTGCTTAAGGCTCTGGCTAACACCATGTGCAACCGTGCACTCCTTGCCGCGATAATAAATCGTGGACTTCTTCTGACTGCATAAGATACGTGAGATTAGTAATAACAACAACAGCATTCCTCACAAATGCTTTTCAACGAAATTGCACTGGGAAGGGGGAAATGTTAATAGTGATTGAGTATTTACTGATAGTAATGACTGATTAATAACAGTAATTTAATGTTTGTTTCCCTGCATATATATATAGAATGAGAGGAAAAAACCTTAACAGGTATAAAACAAACAAAAGTTGTGAATTAACAGACAATTTGTCGGAAAATGGATAATAGAAAAGCCTTCGACAATATAAAATATAAGGTAAAACAAAAAGAAACTATTTTTATATGGTGGAGGTAAGATGTGTATTAATTTTAGTTCTTTTAAAGGTTTCCGATAATCCCTGGTAATTAAAAAAAATCAGGATTACTTTGTGTTGCTTGGATACAACAAAGCGAACTGGGCATGTTTGCTTAAGCATAGGATAGCTTTAATGGAGAAATTTAGAAAAGAGTTCCCCCATATTTACGAAGAACACAGGGAAAGCCATGAATATCTCATTAACATTTCTTAAAGACAATCTATATGCATTTCAACTCTTTTATCGCTCAACCACTGGTTGTAGAGCCCAATTAGTAACGACTTTATTCATGTATTTCCAAAGGAAGACACTTTTTCTGGAGGAAAAACGGGCTACGAAAAAGGTGTGGCACTTTAGTAAACAACTGATGAGAAAAATGTTTGATTTATACAATATATGTCGCGAATTTAATAAAACAAATGCATTTTAACTATCGTCATAATTATGTTTTATATATTTGCGTTTGGAGAGGAATTAGAAATTATAAAGTTAGCGGTTGGGGAATATAAATAACTATAATGGTGACATTTATAACTATGAATGGAATCATTTATCAGAAAGCAAATATTTTGTAAAGATCCTATTGCCATTTGGAAGTGTAAGCATATGAGTTTTTTACTTATAAAATATAAAACTATCACTAAATAACAAAACATAAATTTCTTCTTATTTTGTATCCTGAGTAAACATTCTTATTTTAACTGCATTCTTGTATCGAAAAAAATTAAATAATAACTTCGGTGGCAGTAATGTACATGATTTTTCAAAGAAATGATTAATTCGGAGCGAAGTAAGAGGAGTAAGGTTTATTATTTCTCGTTTAAAGACTGGCGTAGTAAGAATAAATATACCTCATATTGGTCTATTAAATTCACAAATAAATTTTAATTTGTAAAACACACACAAAAATTAAATATTGAATATTTAATTGAAGTATGAGATTCTTATAGTGTCTTGCCAGGAATTTAAGCAGTTTTATGACAGTAACATACAACAGTCTATAAACGACATAAGCAAAGGATAAACGCATTTGGTGAT